ATGTCGGACAACACAGGTGCAGGCGAGGTGATCGTTGTGAGTGCGTGTGCTTTTCCGCTGACCGTTAGCATTCATGTCAGTGAGAACAACGCGGGCGAAAAGCTTTAAAACGTGTGTGTGTTCTTTAACCACCTGAAGGCAAACATGCGACCAAAAGACCCTAGTGAACAACAGAAATAATGAGAGCAAAGCGAGAAGAGGCCAGTGGCCGCCGCGCAGCTCCACTCCAGAGACAAAAACACATTCGCCGCCCGCAGGTGACACCGCCCGCCAATTGAACTCGACCTGAAGAAAAGGAAAAGACAAACAACAAACAACAGCAAAAAAAAAAGGTGGCACGCACCTCCATCACCGTCCAGGAAATTCTTCACACGCCCTTCGAGCGTCCTCACGGGATGTTGCGGTGCGCGCGCGGCAAGAGTGGTAAGCAGAAAAAAAAACAGTTCCTCGGCCGTCGCTCCGTCGCCACGCCAAGAACCATCACCGGCGGAGGGAGTGCATCTTTTGAACGCCAGTCATTCAAAAAAAAAAAAAAAACGTCCCTCACAAAATTTATAAAAAGTTCTCCTCTGGGCAGTGAAGTCAATGCAAAATCACAGGCACACTTGCAGCTCAAAAACACAGAACAAAAACAAAAAAAAAGAAGCAATAATAATAATAAAAAAGAAATGCGTATAGCCCACAAGAAAAAAAAATCCTCAAAAAAAAAACATGGGGGAGGTGCGGTGTCGGCCGCAGGCTCGGAAGAATTAGGGCGCCACAAGCACCACGCCGATCACTAGACCAAAAAGAAGCGACACCAGAAGAACCACGGAGGCACTGCTGTCGCGAGGGCTGCCCTTCCCATGGTGTTTTGGGGGGCTCTCAGCCTCGCGGTGCTGCAGCATGGTGAGGCAGACATCGTTGAACGAGGGGCAGGTGATGCGGCCTGCCGTGAATGGTGCCGTGGGCGTCAGCTTGTACCCGCTCGGGCAGGGATGCCACTCCTTGCTGCCCTTGTACCGCACACTTAACGCGTCCTTGCCACACCGCACATCCACGCACACATCACCCACGGCGACATCGCCCACCTGAAGGCCCTCACCAGTCAAACAACGCGATGTCGGGCCAACAACACTCCCCGGCATGGCAGCCTCGATGCCATCCACACACCCAGTGCCGTTCGTCGGCGCAATGAATGGGCAGTAGTTCATCAGGGCTTCAGGCTTCGAGCCCATGCTGGTTGAAAAGTACGCAAACTCCGCTGGGATCCCCTCGACATTTTGCAGTAAGCAGCTCCCCAGCGACTGGCGGTCAGATGTGCACCGCAGGGCGGTGCCGCTCAAGCTGGTGCAGAACATCTCAGGGTAGCTCGTGACGCCATTATTCACACACTTTTCGGTCAGCAGCTTGCACCCGGCTCCGCTGCCCCAGCGCATCGGCTCCGCCTTCTCAAAATTCACCTTGTAGTAGCCAAGGTCGGCAAAAACTGCCATCGTCAGTGCCGTGTAGTAGCCGGAAACGACCAAGTTCGCCATCAGCTCATCCTTTGCATTGCGCCGCGCCCAGTGCGAATTCAGACCAAGCCACAAAGGCGGCCTCCACTGCTTCTCCACTACCATGAATTCAGTGCCCTCGGAAGTCTGCTCCCTGCCGCGCTCAGGCACCGCGTTTCCACCCGCCACCGCCTGCGGTGATGCAAGAACGGGAAGAGGGGGTCCACGAAGCTTAAGAGTCTGCTGTTTAACGCCTTCTGTACCTGCAGCTCCTCTTTGTTTTCCCGGACTTCCTGATATCCTTCCGTTGCCTTGTCTCCCCCTTCCATTTCGTGCCCCCATTGATGAAGGCATACCTGGTGGATGGTCCCCAAGCCCTGATCTCGGCCCTCCACGGGAAGCTATCCGCCTCTCCGTTTCTCTCTCTCCCTCCTCCCTTGTCACCCGTCGAATCACCGGCCCAGAAGCAGGCAAAGATCCTGCTGCTGCTGGTGGCGGCACGGCTGGTCGTGGTGATTGCCCTCCAGCCGCCTGCCGTTTTATCTGCGGCACATACTCCAGCTCCATGCCCAGAGCTGAGTCGCAGCCGTAGTGCACCCTTGCCTTCTTCCGCGTATTCGCGGAATGCACAATGTGTGCGCGGTGCATCCCCCGCACACCCGGCACCTCCGTCACCAGCTGCATGTTCTCCATGTCCGACGCTATGAAGCCGAGGGCGTGCGCCATCTCGTGCACTGCCACGCGGATGTGCTGCGACGTGTTCACAATGTGGCGTGGGTTGTAATTGATGACGCCAACCACAGGCCGCCCACTACTGCCCAGCGTCGCGCACGGCATCGCCCACGCAAAGGTCATCTTGAGCGTTGGAACGGCGGCCGCGTACAACACCATGTCGGCGTCGGGCACCCCATCCGTGTGGTGCTCCTCCGGCACCTCGAACTTCGCGCAAACACTCTGCTTCGGGAGCCGCGGCACAACCAGGGGACCGTTCAGTGGCCGCACCAACAGGCGCTCGCTGTGCATCCACGCCGCCTCGGGAAGAATCACACTCTTGAGAATCTCCACCTTCTCCTCCGTCAAAACATCCTCTTCCTGGCAGACCATCTGGCCGCCGAGAAACATATTGATCTTTTCCCCGGCCTTGGAGCAGAATCCCTCCGGCGCCTCCAGGTTGTCTGTGAACACCCGGATGCGGATGGGCACCCAGTCACTGCCCACCGACACACGGACAGGACTCACCGGTTCCCCCTCGGGAGTCACGCCGGGAACGTTCCGGGGCAGGCTATCAAACACGCATCGGTGCGGCACAGCAATGACGGGGACGCCGCCGCCGCCGCATAGCACAAAAAGCAGGGCGCAGCAAAGCAGACGGAGCATAATGCGTGACTTGTTGTTAGCGTTTGGGACTGTGCTTACGTGCGAGATGCAAACACACAAAACAATGACATCAAAAAAAGCAAGAAGGCGCAACACCCCTCAAAGAAACAAGGCACGCAAAAAAAGTGAAAGCAGAGGCCAGTCATCACGGAAAACTTTGCCACACAGAGCTGCCCCTCAAAGGCAA